TCCTTGTCCTTGTCCTTGTCCTTGTCCTTGGCATCGGCCGCCGCTTGCTGTTGCTGCTGCTGTTGCTGCTGCTGCTGCTCTTCGGCATCTTCGTCGGCGTTGCCCTCCTTGTCCGCATCGGCTTCGGCGTTTTGGGTGGCCTTTTTGCTGGTGGGGCCTCCGCGTCCGCTCGCCTCCATGCGTGCGTGACCCTGCGTCGCCTTGCTGCCCAGCGCCTCCCATTCCGACGGCATGTCGGCGCCGCCAAAGTCGTACACGCGGCCGAACTCCATATCCTTGATCAGGTGTTCTGCGTCTTGCTCGTACTCGTGCTCAAACTCCAGACGGCCGGGCATGAAGCCGGCGAGCTCGCTGTGATTGGTAGGCGCACTCACCAGCGGCTTGGCCGACTTGGGTGGCGAGTACGAAGCCTGTGCTTCTCGCAGCGTCTCGACGCGCCGCCGCTTGCGCCGCTGAAACTCGTCCTGCGATATCGACGGTGTGAACGCCATCGACGGGCCCACCACGGGCGGCTCCTGCGTCGTGAGCTGGCAAGCCACGCGGCTTCCCGTACCTTGGTCGTCTACGAGCGGGTCAAACACAGGCACCGCCACACGCTGATATCGCTCGAGCGCCTGCTGCGCGCGCTGATCGCCCTTTTCGCCGCCATCGCGGCCCTCGACGTAGACGCTGAGGTAGTGTTGCTGCACCTCTTCCTTGGTGCGGTTGCCGATGTGGTCGGCAATGTCGGCCCAGTTGCCGAGGCCGTAAGTCTGGCAGCCGTCGATGAGGAGCAATTCCTCGTCGGCGCCCCAGTCGTCGCAGAAGATCGGGTACGAGTGCTGCTCGACCACGCGGTAGTCGTGCCACGCCTTGTGCTTGCCCGGCTGCGCACCGGAGCAGAAGCACGATGCGCACAGGTCAAAGTCGGTGCAGCCGCCCGCACACCGGATGCGCACCGTGAGCGTAATGTCGGCGCCGCATGCATCGCAGTGATAACGAACGCCCGGCTCGGCGGCGGCGGTGGTGGAACCGTCTTCGGACTTGGGCGTCGGCTTGTTCTTGCGGTGGCTCACCGTCATGATGGTGGGCGGTCGAGGTGTAGACGGCCAGCCGCTCAGCCGATGTGCGACGCAAGACCGATGTCGTCAAAGTCCAACACGACGACGGCGGCGCGCCGTGTGGGAGCAGGCACCGCCGCGAGGACCGAGGAGGAAGAGGTCCGGCTGTGTCGCTACTTTACGATGTCGAGTCGCTGTTGATTTAGGGCCAATGTGTGATTGCGCGCCGACGACGTTGACGAGGCGTGAC